TTACAGGCACGCGCCACCACGCCCAGCTGATTTTTGTATTTTTAGCAGAGACGGGGTTTCACCATGTTGACCAGGATGGTCTCGATCTCTTTTTAACTTTTTTTCCTGACTGTTAAAAGTCATCACAGAAAGAATAGGAAGAGATTAAGGCTGCTAAACCTAGCCACGCAAGGAGGAAGGAGAACCACATGTGCTGAGCTTTCTCATATTATTAACTAAAAGTTTATGTAGTGCAATTAAAAGTTTCAAACCATTAATTTGTAAGCAGAATTAAATATCAGAGGTATATTCATAAAAGAGTGGCACATGTCATATATATAAATTCTTTCAGGATCTCAGAATTGTAGAACCTAGGGCTCCTCCAACAAGTCCTACTCCCTTATTTCACAGTTGGAGAAATGTGTCCGATGAGACTAAATGGCCTAATGTTACATAGCTTGTCATCCCTGAAGCTGGAACAGGAACTCCTATCATTTCATTACTTCAATATTTTTCATATCTACCTATCTAATCTTCTCTTACATAAATGTGGCAAAATACAGTAGACATTCAGACTGTACTAATAGGGAAATTAATGTTTTTGCTTTTCATTCTTTTCTTTGTAATAGACATATGCAATGCAAGGACTTCCCCTCTCATGGGAGGATTTGAACTTCCCTCCCCTCAAGGACCCAAAACCTGATTAGGAGTTGCTGTTAATTTTTGCCCTGGGTTTGAAAAGCCATCAAGATTTGTTATAGGAAAAAAGTAATAGGTTCTAGAGTACATAGACAAATATGAAGATTGAAGGAGGGACTACTGAGACTAATATAAACACTGAGTGGAAGTTGAAGGAGAAGCGTTTACAGAGGTGACTCAGGAATTTGAGAACCGGCCATGAGAGGTGCTCAAATGAAAGAAGACCCATCTCCCAGAAAGAGGAGACAAATGGCAATGCAAAGAACCTTGTTCTGGTGTCCAAGCATATACAATGACCCTGTAGTCTGCACCCAAGGGAGGAAAGTTCACTGTCCTCTAGGGCCTACACATTGCTTTGGTGTGGATCACATTGATTATTAATAATCCAGCAGAGTAATCACTATCCATGTTCCAAGGCTGCATTTGGTCTGTGTTTGAGGAACCCATGTATTCCTCTACCCCCAGTGCCAATGCCGTCACAGCCCATCTCATAATGCCCCAGGTGACCCATCTACTCTAAAAAGAGAATGAGACCATGCACATCTAGTAGTGGGGTGAAGTAGAGGAACCACCCACATCTGTATCTAGAAAGACTGGACTGAAAAAGATTAAGGTCTCCAGAACTGAGGCAATGGTTATACTAAAGTTTATAAGCTCATTTTTAAAAAGTATTGGTTTTCTGTTTTATAAGAATTCAAGACCTGTAAGTTTTTTTTTTTTTTTCCCTAGCTTTTCTTTCATGAATAAACAGGGGGAATATATAAAGGAACTCGTTTTGTTAATCTATAAAAAATGTTAAATTACCTAAAGTTGAAGTATTTTGTGCAATGTGTATGTATTATTTATGTACACGTGTTTCTCTCTCTCTCTCTCTGAATGATACAACAGTTGAAAACTAACCAATAGAGAGGATATGGTTTGATGCTTAAGAATGAGCCAAACAACAAATGCATAACTGTGTACTATTTGCATGACTAATGCAACTTCATTTAACTGTTACCATTTGAAAATACCAAGTACACTAATCTTGTTTATTGTTTTTGCTTCTTTTTTGAGACAGTCTTGGCTCTGTCACCCAGGCTGGAGTGTAGTGGTAAGATCTTTGCTCACTGCAACCTCTGCCTCAGGGTGCAATCAATTCTCGTGTCTCAGCCACCCGAGTAGCTGGGATTACATGCATGAACCACCATACCCAGCTAATATTTTGTATTTTTAGTATAGATGGGGTTTTGCCACGTTGGTCAGGCTGGTCTCAAACTCTTGGCCTGAAGTGAGCCACCCGCCTCGGCCTCCTAAAGTACTGGGATTACAAACATGAGCCGCTGTGCTCAGGCAAAATATAAAAATCTTAAAGGCTGAACTGTCAATTGTTTTTCTGTTTTTTAAGCCAAGTGTGGCCTAAAGCATTTCTCAACATACTGAAGAACAGTAAACTAAACTCCAACTTTGCCATTTACATGTTAGATCCTAATAGATATTGAAACCCTGCAAAACAGGGGATTTTTTTACTTTTGTTCTGTTTACTTGCTTTTTTTAGTTTATAGAGTGGCAGAAAGCAAACAAGTAACAACAAAAAAAAATAATTAGGAGCTATACAAAAGTAAAAGAATGTATGAATAGAAATCTTCCAGTAATAATATTCCCCCACCTTTCATAGGGCAAAAGATCCACCACAAAAGAAGCAAATAGCCATTCTGAAACTTAATTACATTTCAAAGTAGTACAGTAACATGAAAGGAACAAAACATTTTTGTTCAACAGTTTGCCTACCAGATGGCATCTCTAAATATAGTAATCTAAAACCTTTGCTTATCCTATAAATAAATAAATAAAGATGAAAGGAATAGCAACAATAGCTAAGAATTTAAATCACTGAAAATAAAATAGCACTTTGGTTAGGTTTGGAAGAATCTGGCTCATTCTAACAATGAATCTGGGAAGGCTGGAGTTGTCAGTGAAATTCAGAATACAGAAGGTTGCTTCTGGTATCTACCACCTGCTTATCGACCTGTTTAAACTGGTAGAATGGTTGGAAAAACAAATCAGGAACTAATAGCAGGAAACTTGGGAAAAACTAAAGAAACACAGGAACACCTAATAAATAGAGACTCTAAAGGGCCACAATACAAATTCCAGATTTTTGCTTTTGAAATAAGAGTTGGGACATGCCCTTGCTTTATTTCTGTGCACTCATGTGTAAACATGGGTAATAGTTAAGGACCTGTGCCCTGGAGTTAGGCCTAGCATATGAATCCAGGTTCTACAACTGACTGGCACTATGACTTTGAGCCAGGTTCCTTACCTCTTTGAGCCTCATTGAAAAAAGCAGATAGTAACAGTATTGAGTTTTGTTGGAATTCATATATGACAGTTTTTGGCACTTAGTGAATCCCATGAATATTAGTTGCTTATTATTATTAATAATCATGACTCTTAAATAATAATATTCTGATTTTTTGCTGTCTCAAAAGCATGGGGTGATGTACGGCAAGATTTTCTGGTAGTAAATGGAATTCTAAGAGTAGAACTCAAAGCCTTCCCTGGCATATCTCCAGCTGGTCTCTCCTAGCAGCACTGCCCTCTTCTCACCTGGCTATGGAAGGTTATCTAGAACTTACACGGGGAAGGCAGGTCAAAAGACAGAGGCATTTTTTAAGAATTGGCTATCAGAGCTCAGCCTATCCTAGTCTGTCCTCCTCAGGGACTTCATTTTTACTACTCTTAGCTGCAGATGTATGGGCTTTGGAGAAATGACTCAGGATTTCTTTTTGATCTGGTTAACTAATGGCATGTAGGACCGTTCTGGTTGACAGTATTGGTATTAACACAACACCGAGATAGCTGCGAGTTGATTTTGGCAACTAACCTTTGATAGTAAATAATTTAGTTACCTGGAAGTAGGGCGATTATCTGGAACAAATAAAAGATAAGTTGTAATTGCTTAAACATGATGCAGACTACAATGAATGGAAGACCAGTGTTTAATGGCACTTTAGCTTCTACTGTGTTAGTTTGTTAAATTTTACATGAGGAAAGAGCAACCTGCTGGTGCCACAGCCTTCAGAATTAAAAGATACCTATGTTTCAGCCTTTATAGAGGAAAAATATCCATTTTTTAGTATTTTTAAATTGTGGTAAAACACACATAAAATTTATTAAGTGTACCGTTCACTGGCATTTATTAACAATGTTGTACAACTATCATCACTGCCCATTTCTAAAAATGTTTCACTATTCTAAGCAGAAACTCTGTACTCATTAAACAACAACCTTCCAACCCCCCTTCCCTTAGCCCCTGGTAACCTCTATTCTACTTTCTGTGTCTATGCATTTGCCAATTCTAGATATCTCATGTAAGTGGAATCATACAATTATTTGTCCTTTTGTGTCTGGCTTATTTCACTTGGCATAATGTTTTCAAGGTTCATCCAAGTTGTGGCATGTATCCAAATCTCATTCTTTTTAAAGGCTGAGTAATACTCTATTCCAATATGCACACAGCACGTTTTGTTTCTCTCTCCATCTGCAGATGAACATTTGTTTCCACCTTTTAGTACTTGTGAATAGTGCTGCTATAGAACACTGAAGTATGAGTATTTGCTTGAGTCCCTGCTTTCGTTTCTTTTGGGTGTATACGTAGAAGTGGAACTGCTGGATCATACGCTACGTCAATGTTTAACTTTTTGAGGAACCACCAAATTATTTCTATTGCTGCGACATCATTTTACATTCCCATCAGCAATGCACAAGGTTTCTAATTTCTACACATCCTCACAAATACTTATTTTGTTTTTTTTATAAGAGCCATTCTAATGGCTATATAAAGTAGAATCTCAATAAATTAGATTTGCTTTGTAAACTATTAAAAATAAGAGACACGAAGAGAAGTTATTACATGTCTGACTTACCCTGTATATCAAAAGCTGCAAACATCCTGTGCGAGTCCCAAAGTGAAAAGTAAAATATGGTTCTATTAAATTTTAAACATAGTAATACTGATATTTCTACAGGTAATCTTGACTTTTGGGATTGTATTTAAAATTCCTACAACGAATGTGCGGGATATAAACATATCCATTAGTCATTACAGAAGTCCATACGAGGCTGACACACGTAGAATACCATTCTTGGCAAAACTAAATTCAGTAAGGTTACAACTGCCTCAAACTTGACTCCAAACTACTGAAATCTCAGAGAGCGGGCCAGCCGCGCTGCGCATGCGCGCTCCCGGGCGGACTCCCTCTCGTGCGTGCGTGCCTGCGTGTTTGCGTGCGCGGCCCCGCTCGGCAACGCAGGGGCGGAGTCGCATGACTGGCAGTGGTATCAGCGATGGCGGCTGCGTCGGGGTCAGTTCTGCAGCGTTGTATCGTGTCGCCGGCTGGGAGGCATAGCGCCTCTCTGATCGTCCTACATGGCTCAGGTGGATTTCAGTTTTACGTCCTGGTTTTCTACAGCTCGGGAAACATCCTCCCCTCGGTTACCCCAGTTTTGCCCAAGTGGAGGTGTCGCTGGGCCCACATAGGGCCCGATGGGTGGCTAACCCGTCTCCAGCCCCGGCTGTGGATTCACGGGCAGCACCACCTTCCCCCAGCCTCCCCTCTTAGTCGTCCTCTTTCTATCGGGCGGTCACTGGCCCACCACCCTCGCTTAAGGGCATTGTGTCCCGCTGCTCAGCCAGCCCTCTATCCACACATTCTCTCCAGTGCAGCCTATACCACATCCCCATTCCTCGCCCCAAGTTTAAACAGAGCAAATTAGTAAGGTAAGTCTTCTGCTAGAGGGAAATTATTTAGTTTTTGTCATGATCAGCTGCTAGTGATTTTTGGGTCGTAATTGCCCATTGCTTTCTCCAGGCTCCCCTACTAATGTAGACAATTGAGATTCACAGTTAACTTAGGTACTGTTTACAGAGTATCTCCTTTCTGTGAGCCACTGTGCCATGGCTGGAGTCCTTTCACTCCCTTTCCTTTTTCCTGCTCCGCTTTCCTTCCTTCCCCTTTATCGCCTGTGTCATTAAACTTCCAATATAGACTACAGGGGCAGGAGCCCCAGAGGCAGGTATATCTTCCACTGCCTGCCCTTAGTAACGTGTACTTAATGCTGTATCGTTTTTTACACTCATCTGTAATCACTTTTATCTGTCTTCCCCACTGGACTGTGAGAGTAAGGGTCCTTGTGTCAATCTTTGCACCCCCAGTGCTTAGCCCAGGGTAAGCTCTCAGGAAATTTTTTTTTTTTTTAAAGAAATGCGATGCAGCCGGTGTCCTTAGGGGGCCTACCTAAAGTTAAAAACAAAAACAATTCAATTAGCTTGAGTCAGCAGTGCATGGAAGATCACAAGACGGTGCCTGGTTTCCTGCCAAGTGAATTGTAAGAGAAGAAAATGTGGTTAGGCATTATTAAGGCATTTGAAAGATGAAAAGCTTGTCAGACTTTTCGAAGAAAGTGGTCTTTGAGCCGAGACGGGTAGGCTAAAAGGAATGGTGATTGGAAGGGAATTAAAAAGGTACTGGGCAGAGACCTGGAAAAGGGCAGTTCTGGGAGGTGTTCTCTTTATTTTGAAAATGAGGCCAGACAAGTTCAGCAGCTTGGCCAAGTTCTCTTAGCTGTTACTGTGAGTGGTGGCGGATTTGGGATTAGAACCCAAAGCTCTCCGACCTCACACTCAGGGTTCTGGTTGGGTAAGGTGAAAAAGCTTGAACTAGGATGTATCGTTTTGGAGACAGGGAAGAAGAGGACCGATGGTGTTTAAAGGGAAAGACTTGGCATATATTTAGAAAGTGAGGTGTGCAAGATGACAGCGATACTTAACTAGGAGGTTAGTAGTGCTATTTAGGGCTCCAAGAGTGTTCATTTATAAGTACCCAGAAATTCCCCAACACTATATCCTTTTGCATGAATTATCAATTCTCATTATCTTTAGGAAAAACTCCTAGACTGTGTTCCTTTTTTCCTTCCTGGAGCACTTTGTTTAAAATAACTATCCTTACTCTTTTAAATTTCAGATTACATTTTTATAAACTGTAAGGGTATGTCTCTAAAATTCAGTCATATATATATATTTTTTTCCTTTGTACTTTGAACAAAGAATTTACGCAAAGAATTCTGCAAAGTGTGCAAGTATAATGTGATTCCTATATATTTAAATCTCCATTGAAGTAAATAAAACCCTTATTGGGAGTAGGTCTTTTTCATCTTTGTTTTTGGGAGTAGGTGTTTATCATCCAGTAGGTCCTCAGCAGCGAATGATTTTACATTAAACTGTAATGTATGTGGTTATGTTATAGGAGGTGTTTCGTTTCTGCTTAATTAGAATATGGGCAAACCAATTCTAATAGTTTTATCACACTCAGTTTTACCATACTGTTAACAGTTCTAACAGTTTTACTCTGGAATAAGGTACCAGCTTTTTTAAAAGTGGACCTTGTGAATGGATAGATAGATGCCATTTTGCAGCTTCATTCTTATTCTTCAAGGTCGAAAAAATGTTACGACAGTTTTTTGTTTGTTTGTTTGTTTGTTTTTTTAAGCCTTAAAAGCTTGAGATTTTCTTCTAGGAGATAGCAGCCATAGAACATATGAGAGTGTAAATTGTATATAGCCAACTTAATTTGAGCCTTTTCTATTAATAAAATACTAAAGACAGACCTTCTTTTAAGATGATAAAAATAAATGATAGGTTAATTAGTTTTGTTCAGTCTCTCAGATCAGATTAATTCACTGTTTTTCTCCCATAGGACATTGGTTCTTCTTTCAGTGGTAGTCATATCTGTAATTATGTAATGTCTGTATTCCACATTAAGTTATTAGGCTCACAAAGCCCAATCCATGTGTCTTGTTTATGGCTTTCTTCCTGTATAGTAAGGCTCAGCAAGTTGACTGAGTAGCCTCTTGGTAAAGTCGCCAGTAAGCTCAAGCTCTGTGTCACTCAATGTAATGGACATTTTTTCAGTCTTCCTCTTACTTGAACTGTCATCCACATTAAACTTTCTTCTCAGAAAACTCTCCAGGTTCTTTTTCTGTCTTGATTTTCTGCTTCTGCTTTCTTTTGCAGACTCATCCTCCTCTGCCTGGCCATTAATGATAGGGTTTCTCTAAATATGGTCCAAGGTCTTTTCACTCTATATTTTTCTCCCTACGCTAATCACAGAAATCTCCTAGAGATACCCATTTATGTCACTGATATATAGGGAAAAATAGAATCTTTGAATTTCAACTGCCTGATAGAGATTAATTAATGAATTCATTCATTCAAGAAATATATCACAGCCACTATGTGTAAGGCACTCTTCTGTGCTCTGATCATAACGCAGTGAACAATACAAATCCATGGTCTCATGGATGTTATGTTCTAATGAAAGAAAGAAATACTGTAGTAGAAGGTAGTAAGTTTTATGGAGACAAAGCAGGTTAAGGGAATGCTTCCATGGTTGAGGAGTTGGAACAGTGTTACAATTTTAAATAGGATATGCCTCACCACAAAGGTGACAGAAGATGACACTTTACAGCTAGACTTAGGTGAAAGAATAATGTACATATTGGATTAGGCTGTTTAGACAAAGGAAAAGCCAAGTCACAGGCCCCAGGGTAGGTTCCTTGACATGTTCAAGGAACAGCAGTAAGGCTAGTGTGCCTGGAGTGAGGAGAGTAGGAAGGGATATCCAAGAGGGTACCAGCATCAGGTAGTGTAGGGCAGGGGTTGGCAAACTTTCTGTAAAAAGTCAGGATTTTATGTTTTGTGAGTCATGTAAGGTCTCTTCCACATGTTTTTCCCTTCTCCCTCTTTTTAAGAAATTACACTTTAATAATATAAAACCCATTATTAGCTTATCCTCCTTAAGGACCCTAGGCTGGATTTTGTCCTCCCCTCTAGCTGGCCATAGCTGCTCCATCAACCCATGGTATAAGAACTTGTTGTATTCAGACTCAACCTATGTATACCTGTTGCTTCTTGTGTTTCCCATCTAGGCAGGTGTCTAGTATTATTGTTCACCCAGTTACTCCAGCCAAAAGCCTGTCAGTCATCCATGAAACCTTTCACTATTGACCCTTCATAACTAATCTGTTGTCAATCTCTATTAATCTTACGACCTAAATTTCTCTAGTATCTGTTTCTATCTACATCATCACCCTAGTCTAAGCATGAACAGTAGTTTCCTAACTATCTCTGTACATCTACTTTTGCTCTCTTTCAGTTCTGTCTTCACACGGCTTCCAGATTGATCCTTTAGAATCATGCCAACATTGCTGTCAGAAATATTCATAGCTTCTCCATGAACAGATTTGTCACGTTCCTACAGTTTCTCTGGTCTCATTTTATAGTCACTACTCTTCCTTTCATTCTCTGCTTTTCAGTTCTTTTTTTTTTGAGACAGTCTCACATTGTTGCCCAGGCTGGAGTGCAGTGGCACAATCTCGGCTCACTGCAACTTCTGCCTCCTGGTTCAAGCGATTCTCCTGCCTCAGCCTCCCAAGTAGCTGGGATTACAGGCACGTGCCACCACACTCGGCTAATCTTTGTATTTTTAGTAGAAACTGCTTTTCAGTTCTTACATGTCATACTGCTCCCTCTTGTCCAGACTCTTGGCACCTCTCCTTTCCTTGGCCTGAGATACTTTTTACTTCTGTATTGTACTTGTCACCATCCTGCAGATTTTAGTTCAAACCATTCAGCAACTATCTTTGGATACCCACTTTTGTCAGTCCTGTTCTAGGCAGTAGGTGAACAAATAACTCAGATAAAATACATAATAAACTTAATCTTGCAGAGTTTATAGGCCTAGTGCATTTTTCTTTGAACTCCTTAACCCAATCAGTTCTAAATCCTTGCAGCACCAAGTGTCTCATCTTTGCAGCAGTTATGTTTCTCTTTCACATTTATTTCTGTGATATTTTGACTAATTTCTGTTTCTCACAATATGCTACATACTGAACGAGAGTAGGGACCCTATTCCTCCCTCATCCCACCATCATTGCCTCTCTAGCAGTGAACACAGTGCGTGACACATTAACAGGGATTCAATAGACAAGTTTTTGAACTGACACCCTAATGAGTTAATTGATTAAAAAATTAAAGTTGTGACCTCTCAATTTCCTCCTCAGGACTACATAAGATGGATTTATATTTCCTTCCATTTTTTGTGTAAATACATATATATTAATTTTTGTAGAAGTTTTTATTTTCAGCTTTGGAGTAGATAATCATTCTTTTAGGTCATGTAAACATGTTTTCAAATTTAAATTGTAATTTCTTCAAGTTTAAAATTACACTGAATATATCTTTTGGGCTTTTTTTTAACCAAGAAAATTATATTAGATTGTTCTAACTACAGAAGTTTAACAAAGTTTAAAAATCACTTTGGGAATTTATTAGTATTAAGAATAAGATAAGAAATGACTATTAAAAATCACACATAAATATGGAAATAATATTTTTTTAGAAAAATCAAGTTATTTATTTTTTCCTGTAATACCCGCTAAACAAATTAGGAAACTTAAAACTTAAGCTTAAACAAAATCTTTGAAGTAATCAATGGTAAAGCCAGGAATAAAATAATCAAAATTATTACTAGTTATTGAGGCTTGATCAGTTGATTTATATTAATGAATCAGTTTCTATATGGTTATTACTACATATGGAGTTTTTTTTTAATCCCTTATTCCATCCTCTGTGTGGCATAAAAGTTTTAGATTGCTTTTAAGTGCATTGTATTACTGAAATAATTATTTTAATCTAGATTTTGTGATTCATCAGGTGATTCTGGACGAGGTTTAAGAATGTGGATCAAGCAGGTTTTAAATCAAGATTTAACATTCCAACACATAAAAATTATTTATCCAACAGCTCCTCCCAGGTATGCAGTAATTTATCTCACTTCTCAATATAACTCTGTGGCATAAAATGTATGTAAAGAGATGTGCCAACTAGATGTTCTTTAAGCTTAATTTTGTATTTAAGATACTTTAAATTAGAGTACTTTTTCCTCAGAATGTATTCTTTATTGCAGTTACACTGTTGGGCCAAGTTTTGCCAGTTGAATAATTTATTCCCTCTCTGTAAAGCATTCCCTAAAGCTCTGAATTTAAACTGTGTCCCAAGCATGGCTTATGTAACTGCTTCCTCTTGCCCTGCAGATTGCTCAACTTTCATACTTTATTCTTCCCTACATTCACCCCAAAAGGAAACTTAATAACTCCAACAAGTATAATCTTTCTATTAATTTAGTTAAGCCAGAGTTCATAATCTCTGGAAAAGGGTTTTATTACATTCTTTCCACATTTAAAAGGATTATTAAGAAATAATGTTATGCCTTTTGAATCAGTAAACCAGAATAGAAAAACGGAATTGACTACTTAATAAATATTTAGGTTATGTAAGCTGTAGGTGTGTACAACAAAGTTCACAGTAATAAAACTAGTATAGTTTTGAGGTTAAACTGCTTTTTGTAAATATTAACATCTGCATAGTCTTTATTCTGAACACATGCTGTAAATCAAGGATCGGCAATATTTTTTGTGTTAAGTGAAATGATGTGTGGAACTACGCCCCAATCTGATTTCTCATAATCTGTTCTTGTTTTTTTCTTTTCTTTTTTTTTTTTTTTTTTTTTGATAGAGTTTCGCTCTGTTGCAACCTTTGCCTCCTGAGTTCCAACGATTCTCCTGCTTCAGCTTCCCGAGTAGCTGGGATTATAGGTGTATGACACCACACTTAGCCAATTTTTGTATTTTTAGTAAAGACGGGGTTTCACCATGTTGGCCAGGCTGGTCTGGAACTCTTGACCTCAGGTGATCTACCCACATTGGCCTCCCAAAAAGTGCTGGAATCACAGGCATTGAGCCACTATGCCCAGCCTATTCTTGATTTTTTTCTTATCAGGCATACTATGCAAATGCTTTGCTTTATCTTTCCATTAACTTAGTATTAAGGAGAAATTGAGCCAGAACTTCAAGGACATTTTTATATGTACTAATAAGAATTTACTTACTTTAAGTGATAGAATTCAAAAAAGGAGAACAAAAGGATAATGTAAGAGTAAAGATTCAAAGAAGTTATTATTTAAATGTAATTTTAGTAGAGTTTAAAAGTTTGGTAATGTAGTTAAAAGACCCAATCAGCAGTGGGATTTTTTTGTCAAAAGAGCTTGTTGTTAGTGGTTTTTAGGGTAGTTGAAGTTGGAAGGGAGAAACAGTGGTATTTCTGGAGGGATGAGAGATAAGTTCATTTCTGCCTCAAATAAATACAATTGGATGATTAGTCATAAGACCATTGAAAACCTTATTCTAGGAATTAGTATTTTTTATCTTAAGAATTTCATGTCATGGCTGATTGTGATAGTAATTCTAGACAGTATTTTTCAAACTTTAGGCCAGATATATTTCAGAAAATTCAAAAAATCTCCATGTGCATTAAGCATTATTTGTGGGTACTGTTGTGATTTAGTAAAATATGAAATTATTAGACCAGCTTCATAATAACTTTTTGTTATACATTTTTATAATAAATAGTTATTTGGACAGATCATCAAACATTTTAGGCCATACTCACCAATAGAAACATAATATGAGCTACATATAAATTTAAATTTTCTTGGTACCACATTATAAGAAGGAAGAAATGGGTAAAATTAATTTTAATAATATATTTTATTTAACCCAGTATATTCAAAATATTCAATAAGTATAAAATTATTACAGTGATAATTTATATTTTTAACATTAAAGCTTTGAAAATTGGCATGTGTTTTACGTGTACATCTTATTTTGGATGCGAATTAGTACATTTAAATTAAATAATAGTAAAAATTAAATTCCTCAAGTTGCACTGACTACATTTATGTGCTTTATAACCTTATGTGGTTAGTGGCTGCCATTTTGTACAGCTTAATTTTAGACCTTAAAGAGGAGTTACCATATACAATATGTTGGGAGCCACAGTTATAGATCAAGTCATCATTTTAACTTATGCATACAATACTCATTGGTTTGTTCATTCACTTATTAGTAGCAAAACATAGATTTCCAATATTACTTTAAATATTAAATTATTTAATTGCAATAGAAAATGAAACTGGCATAAACAAATTTGAGAACATAGTTGACTCTTGGTAAGCATAAAAAGCCTAAGGCTCCATTTGTAGGAGCAAAAGTGTGAGGTGGTGCAAGAATGAAACCTCTTGATCCGGACCATTTATTCTTCCATGAGCATTAGACATAGGAATACATGGCTTTGGTTAATATTATGAGGCAATTCAGTGGAGGTCAGTTAAGAGAGTTAATATCATACTTAGTATATTATAATTAGTTGATTTTTTTTCTACCTTGTGCTCTAGACTAATTTTCTAGAGCATTTTATATGATACTTACTTCTGTATCTTTACAGACACTTAGGGATACAGTATCTCTAAGCACTTAGCATAGAATCTGACAAATAGAAGACTTTAGTGAATATTGAATAAATATCTTGCAGTATTTGTTTGTTATAATTTAAAATAGTATAGTAGGAATGAGTATTTGTGGGTATTTATATATAATACTAATATTTTAATTGTATAATAGTTTATGCCTATGTGAGTTTTTAAAAAGTGTATTTTGTTGTGGTAAATTACTTAAAAATTGTTGTTCATAAGGGCTTGCAGTTACTTGTCCTAGGACTTGACCAGTAATAGTTTAATTGAGTGAGCACAAGATTATGGACCACTTTTAACTAATGAGTCTCAAATTGAGGAGGACTGCAGTATTATTAAGCCTACAGCTCTTAACTGGTTTCTAGATTTCAGAATGCTGTTTGATAGTATTTTATTAGAATGCTCTGGTATTCATGATGTACTTTGCTGTTCTAAGACTTCTGACTGATGCTCCTAGCATGTTACTCTGTTTAGGCAAGTGGTTTGGGCATAGATTTATTGTCCTTGTTTTCGTAGCATAATATGGCTTCATTTGGGGTTATAAGGATAGTTGCTGCCTTCCATCTATTATGGCAGTGTTTCTTGTGCTGCTGATAGAGAGACTGGTGTCATCTACCTTGCTTGCTACCTTTCCAGTGGCATCTAAAAGAGGCATATGGTAGATGCATGCCTTCCTTTACTGTCACTCTTTTTAATGTGATTGATACAGGATAAAAATGAATTTTAACAACCTTTTTAAAAGTTTATCAAGGTTTCATGCTTTAACATTTTGCTACGTACTTTCTGATATAGTCCACATTTCTGGTATTTATTATCTCTCCTGTTTTTTTCTTTTACCACCTGTAAACCTGTAAGTTTTTCTATATTATGGATATTTCATTGACTATGTTACTCTATAGGGTATACTGAAGATATCACTTGGCTTTTAAAATCATTCCATTGATGGCATCTAAATGATATTCAGGGTTTACCTGCCTGTTAGTTGGCCAGTTTTGTCCTAGAATGTATCTAGTCTCCCATTACATTGAAATGATGCTTACTATTATGTGCCTTTACCCAAGCCAGTATTTATAGAAGTGAATGAAAATGACATGTATAAAAGCAGGTTAAGGTTTATTAGCTTTGGCACACAATGCCAACATATTTCCAGAGAGGCTGTAACAATTGACAGCCTCACCAGCAGTATTTGAGAGTCCCATTTGTCTCACATCCTCCTGAACACTTTCCATTGTCAGTCTTTTTAAGTTTAGCCAAACCAGTAGATATGTAGTGGTATCTTATTGTGCTTTTAATTCATATTTCTTTAATATTAATGATGGTGCACACTGTTTCATATGCTTATTGAGCATTTAGATATCTTCAAAAGAAATACCCACTCAGATCATTTGCCGATTCTTTTATTTAGTCATCTTTTTCTGTTGATTTGTGGAGCTTTGTAGTTTTTGGATACAGTTTGTTATTGTTGTTGGATATATAAATACAAATACCTTCTCTTTGTGGTTTGCATTTTCACATTCTTACTGACATCTTGTGGACCTAAGTTCTAATATGTTTCTTTAAAATTTACAGTGAAATACAAAAATTGTATATGCATACTTAATTTTAATAAACTATTCTACACAGAATTTTGATAAAACTATCTCCTGTTATCTCAATTAAGTTGGAGAATATTCACATCACCCCAGAAAGTGTCCTCCTGCTTCTTTCAAGTTAGCTTCCATTCTCACATAGGCTATTATTGTTTGGATATCTATTACTGTGACATAGTTTGGCTTGTTCTTGAATTACAGTTAAATGGAATCATTTAAGGAAATAATCTAATGGAATCTTTGGTCTGGCTTCTTTTATTCAACTTAGTATTTTTGGGATTCATCTGTATGTATATATCAATAGTTCAATTTTTAAAATTGAAAGTAGGTATTACATAAATAATACCATAATTTGTTTATCTGTCTACTGTTGTTGGACATTTGGATTATTTCCAGTTCTGAGATCTAGTGTATAATGCTGCTATAAATATTCTTGTTACAAGTCTTTTTGTGAATATAATTTCAATTAATTCTTATCTAGAGTCTATTCCATTGGTCTGTTTATCTAATCTTCTAGTAGTATAAAATTATTTTAATTAACACAGTTTTTAGAAAATTTTGAAATCCAGTGGTGTAAGTTTGCTCATTCTATGTTACTTGCATTTACGTGTAAATTTTAGAACGTACTTTTCAATTTAATGAAATACCTGTTTGGATTTTTATTAAAATTGCCTGGAATCTACAGTTTGATTTGGAGGAAATAGATGCTTTCTAATACATACACATGGTATGTCCCACCATTTATTGAGGTCTTCATTAATTTCTCTCAGAAGTGATTGAGAGTTTTTAGTGTAGAATTCTTTTGCTAAATTTATTTACAAGCATTTTGTTTCTTCATGATATTGTAAATGGAATTTT